CCCTGCTGTGCCTTGGCCAAATTCCTGAGCCACAGAATCCATGAATGTAACAAAATGATTGTCATTATACACCATTAAGTAAGTTTGAGGTTGATTCATTACACAGCAAGAGATAACTGGAACAGAGATCAACCACTAAATCACTTTGGCCATGACCACTTCCACCTAAGAGTAACTGTAAGGTTTATTGCAGAGGTAAAATGAGGAAACTGAGGCAAGTATAAGAAAATGAGAAGCTAATTTATTCAGCTCCTGGGCAAGGTTCTGTGGTCCAGGAAGGGGCCAAAGAAGTCACACTCGGCTGTTCAGGGCATGGGGTTTTATGGGGAGGGAAGGCAATTGATTGGCTATTGTGGAAACAAAGTGAAGAAATTTCATTGGCTGTTGAGAAACAGTAAATGCATGGAGCTAGCTGCCATTGGTAGGTGGGTGGGACCTTGGGTAGGTGGGCCTTGATTGGCGATTGGGGAAACAAAGTGAAGGCAATCTTATTGGCTGTTGAGAAACAGGAAATGCATGGAGCTAGCTGCCATTGGTAGGTGGGCGGGACCTTGGGTAAGTGGGCCTGCCGGGCGCGTACAGGGCAGACTGCTACCAGGCAGGGTGTGGTGGGGCCTCTTTAAAAAATTTTTCTGCAGGGTTTTTCAACAGTGGGCTGGGGGTTGGATGCATAGTTTAGTGCTGAGTGTAGGCTTGGGTATGGTATGTGGAGGTGGGTGTGGGGAAGTCATGTGGTGAGGCCAGATAAGGAACTTGGGTGATGACGTAGTTATCAGGCGCGGAGAGAGATGGATGTGTCCGTTTAACCCTCTGCAAGGCAGCTGGCCTTACATTCCAACCTTTTTTTTATGATACAGGATGTGGCTTCTTTCTGGCTACTTCCTGCTGAACAGGGGGGGGGTTGGGGGGGGGGTCAGTTGGCCGGTGCCTCAGTTGTGAGTTGGACGTAGGGGTGAACCAGCATTTGATTTACAGCTGCCCTGGAAATTTCCCTCATTCGAGCTTGTAAAAACCTGAGGGAAAAAGGGGCTAGTATTAGCAAAAGTCAAATTATGATAATGGGAGTGACGATAGAGGTTAGCCAGGTAAGTATGGGGGACTGCCACCAGTAAAGAGGCTGGTATGCTTTGTTTTCTTTGGAGGACTTCTTGAAGACGATAGAGAGTGTTGACATTTTCTTCCACTAGACCGGTTTCATTAATGTAATAACAACATTGTACCTGGAGAAACAAGCAGGTACCTCCTTTTTCTGCTGTTAACAGGTCTAGAGCCTGCTGATTTTGGAGAGTTACCCAAGTTAGTGACGTGATTTGTTGCTGGAGGGATGCCAGAGAGGTGGCTGATGCCTCAGTGGCCACCCGGAGTTTGTCTTCTAGTTGAGCGGCTGAGGTGACACTGTAGCCCAGGGTGCCATTCCCTATTCCAGCTGCTTCTAGAGAAGATGGTAAGGAGAGGCCAACCACTATTGGGAGGAAGACTGCTTGTTTACTCTGGTGGTTTGGGGATGGAGTGACATGGGACAAGAACTCAGCTTGTCCATATACTTCTAACTGTGGGACCAAGGTGGCTGGCACACAAGGGAAGGGAAGAGAGGTATCTATAACTTTGGTTAGAGTTCCATTGCACCAAAAGTACCTCCCCTGGAGGCGCATAAAGAGTGGAGGCTACCTTTACCGTAATATTGCAGTTGGAGTCGTTGACGGTCCCGTAGCAGAGAGAGAGACTTTGAGAGTGTACCTTAAACAGGGGGATGTCTGTTAAGGGGGAATTAGGCTGCCCTGTAGGCGATTGTGACAGGTTGAACCCAGTCTGGAGGGGAACTGCGGCAAAGGGGGGATTGTTGAGGGAGGCACATAAAAAGCAGTTGGTGAAATTTGTGGATTTGGCTAAATTTAACATGTTGATACCTTGTTGACCTAGAGTTAGCCAGGAGAAAGGTTCAGAGGTGTTCTTTAAGGGTTTGAAATAGGTAAGATGGTATTGCCTAATGAGTTGAGTCGGTCTATCTCCGCTGGCAGAATGCGGGTGTAGCTCCGAAATATTAGCCATGTGCCACTAGGGTATCTATCTGCATGTAAATTGTATATTTTACCTGTAGTTCCCTTTTCCCAGTGACTGTTCCGGGGGTCACAGATGGCAAGTTGCACTTTGCCTTTGCCATCAGTGCCGAGTATTTTTCCTGTGATTCTGTGCATGACACAGGACCTATATGGGCATCCACCATAGGTGGCATTCCACCAATGACAGTAATCTTTGGTTTGGTCATACAAATAGCATAAAGCTGCGTCGTGCCAGCTGCCCGTGAGGAGAGTGCCTGGGAGGGTTTTGGCCTTTGATGCTTTAAATTCAAGTACTATGGTCGACTGACAGCCTGCAGGTAGACAGTCCACTTGGGCAAGGTATTGGGTTTTTTTAGTTTTATCTTCTGTCCAGGATTCCTGAAGATAAAGGCGCCAGACGTATGAGTTGGCTTTAAGAGGAGATATTAGAAGGGTTGTTAGGAGAAGAATTTGAAGGGCTAGGGGGTGACTGCCAGGGACAACGCGTGAGGCGGAGGCGAGTGGGGCCCAAGGGTTCGGACATCCACTGGGCATTTTTGGGGGCCAGTTTGAGGCGGGACACATGGTACCACGGGGCATGACCTAAGAGTTTAGCGGCAGTTGGGGTGGTTAGGATAACGATGTGGGGTTCAGACCACCTGGGCTGTAGAGATCCTGGCTTAAGTTCCTGGAGGAGAACACTGTCACCTGGCTGGAGAGGTGTTGCTGGGTGGGAATCCTCTGGTCCTGAAACCACGGGGAGAATACGGTCTGCGTGTTCCCTGAGTAAGTGGTGGAGGAGAGAGAGGTAGGGGAGGTAGGAAGCTAGAGGAGGTGGTTGTACTGGGAGATTGTGAGAGACCAGAAAGGGCTGGGCATACAACAACTCAAAGGGCCTGAGACCCGTTGGCTCCCATGGGGTGGCTCGGACCCGGGCTAGAGCAAGAGGTAGGAGTGTGGGCCAAGAGAGCTTTACCTCGATGGTAAGCTTGGTCAAATGGTCCTTGAGGATGCTGTGAGCCCGTTCAACCTTACCCGATGACTGAGGGTGGTAAGGGATGTGTAGTTTCCAGGAGATGTTGAGAGACTTGGTGACCAGCTGGACCACCTGAACGGTGAATGCTGGGCCCTTGTCCGACTGGATGGTTACGGGTAGGCCGAAGTGAGGGATGACTTCCTGAATCAAGAGGGAGGCCACCGTATCCGCGGTTCCCTTGGAGGTAGGGAAGGCTTCAATCCATCCAGAAAAGGTATCTACAAAGGTTAGGAGGTAGTGAAGTTTTTTGTGAGTGGGCATATGAGTAAAATCAATTTGCCAGTCTTGGGCCGGTAGGTTGCCACGCATTTGGTGAGTAGGAAACTGTGGCCCTAGGCTTCCTTGAGATGAGACCTAAGAGCAGGTTACATATGCCTTTGTACCTGCTCAATGGTCTGTTGCAGACCAGGTGAGAAAAAAAAAGGCTGCACAAAGCGGTGTAATGCCTTGGGCCCTGTATGTAGGGATTGGTGGATTTCTGTAATAATTTTCGAGGCCTGTTCCCAAGGAAGGGCGATCTTATTATCTAAGAAGATCCAGCCCTGATCAAACTCAGTTCCTCCTCTTAATATGAGGGCCTGCTTTTCTGAAGGCGAGTAGTCTGGCAGCATGGCCATGGTGAGGAATAGAACTGGATTGGGGGCTAGCTTGTTGCTGGTTAAGGATTTTGCGGTGGCATCCGCCCTTGCATTGCCCTGAGAAACGGTATCCTGCTGGGCCTGGTGTCCTCGGCAGTGGATGACAGCAACCTCTTTGGGCAGTGACAGAGCTTGCAGGAGGTTAGAGATTGAGTAGCATTGATTATGGGGGACCCTTTTGTAGTAAGGAATCCCCTTTCTTTCCAGAGTGGCAGTGGGTAATAAGAAAGGCATACTTTGAGTCGGTATAGATATTTACTCGCTTTCCCTGTGCTAACGTGAGAGCTCGGGTTAAGGCAATGAGTTCTGCCTTCTGTGATGTGGTTCCATCAGGGAGGCAATGTGCCTCGAGGGTGGCTGAATCTGTGACTATTGCATAGGCTGCTTTTCGCTGCCCCTCGGCTGTTATTATGGAACTCCCATCTACATACAAAGTGAGGTCTGGGTCAGGTAGGGGTAGATCGGTCAGGCCCTCTTGAGGTTTAGTAAATGTATTTATGAGTTCAGGACAGGAATGGGCAGGGGAGGGAGAGTGAGACGGAAGAGGAAGTAAAGTAGCCGGGTTGAGTGGAGAAGTAGAATGGAAACTGACTGAAGGATTTTCAATGAAGAGCAAATAAAACTCCTGTAAGCGAGAGGGTCCTAGATGTGTGAGTGATTTGTGAGAGAGAAGGTCGGTTAGCCGATGAGGAGAGAATACCAAGATGGGCTGGCCTAAGGTAAGTTTTAGGGATTCCTTGGTTAGTTCTGTTGCCACTCCCAGGCAAGGTTGCCATCCTCTGACCATGGGGTCAAGCTGTTTTGACAAGTAGGCTACAGGACAATATGTGGGGCCCAGGGGTTGAGTTAAGACCCCAACTGCTATCCCGTTTTTCATCAGTGAACAGATGGAAGGGGCAATGGAGATCCGGCAGTTGAAGTGGGGGTGCCATGGACAAGGCTGTCTGTAGGGTTTTAAAGGCCTGTTTTACAACCCCTGGATGGGAGAGGGGTCCCATAGGTGTGTCTTTAGCCTCCACATACAGGGGCTTAGCCAGAGTGGCAAAGTTAGGTATCCAGTGATGGAAGAATCCCACAAATCCTAGAAAGGAGAGGATTTCATCAGCCGTCTGTGGGGGCTGTAGTACAAGAAGTGCCTGCTGGCGGTCTGTTGTTAAGCTCTTAGTCTTGGGGGTGAGGTGAATGCCCAAATAGATTACTGAGGTGACTGACAGCTGTGCTTTAGAGGGGGATACCCAGTACCCCCGAGACCCAAGAAAATTGAGGATAGCGGTATGTTGCTGCGACATAGGGAGGGGCTACAAAGTAACAGGTCATCCACGTACTGGAGAAGGAGACTGGGTTGAAGGGGGCAAGAGCTGAGGTCAGTCGCTAATGTTTGCCCGAAAATGTGGGGGCTGTCCCTAAAGCCCTGGGCCAGGACTGTCCAGGTTAACTGTTGTGACAGGTTAGTGTCCGGATCGGTCCAGGTAAAGGCAAAAAGGAAGTAAGACTCTGGGTGAAGGGGGATGGTAAAAAAGGCGTCCTTGAGGTCCAGAACTATAAAATGAGTGGTTGCGGAGGGAATGTTGGATAATAGGGTATAGGGGTTGGGGACCACTGCGTGGAGGGGTACCACCGCCTCATTGATAAGGCATAGGTCTTGGACTAGGCGGTAGTCACCGGATGGCTTTTGGACCAGTAAGATAGCAGTATTACAAGGAGAACTGGTGGGGATAAGGAGTCCCTGGGCCAAAAGTCGAGTGATGATAGGTTTTAGGCCTTGAAGGTGGTTTTTTGAGATGGAAAACAGGATGGGAGGGAAAGCGGGTAGGGTCTTTGAGAAATATTTTAACTGGTGTGTGATGTGTGGCCACCACAGGCTTAGAGGTATCCCATACCGAGGGGCTAACTACCTCAGGAGGGATAGGGGGTTGAGGTGAGGGGTTATGACTGGGTGCATTACCAGTTAGGGTTAGTACTAGAAGATGGGTGGGGGACGGGGTTGGGTGTGAGGGGCCGGTGAGTTGGAGGGTGGCCCTTAGAGTTTGGAGGATGTCCCATCCTAGTAGGGGAACTGGGCACAAGGGCATGATCAGGAAGGAGTGAGAGAATGGGTGCCCCTCGAGGTTATAGGCTAAAGGAGGAGTCTGGTTGGGACAGGAGGGCTTTCCATCAATTCCCATAACTGACACCTGGGAAGGTATGTTAGGTTCTGAGTAGGAAGGCAATACAGAATAGGTAACCCTTGTATCCACCAAAAAGGAAATGGACTTACCCGCTACCTGTAGCGTTACCCTGGGCTCGGCAAGGGTGATGGGGTCTCCGAGTCTGGGCTGCGTCAATTGTCCAGGAGGCCGAGGAGTTCAAATGAAGGGACTGCATCCTTCGGACTGGCCTGCCTCTCACATGGAGGTGTCGGGGGTGAGCCTGTAGTCCGGGATGGGCAGTCTACCTTCTAGTGTCCTGTCCATTTGTAGGTAGGACAGGGTCCAGGGGCTGGATGCAGACAGGGGCACTGTTAGGCCCAGTGTCCCTCCTGGCCGCATTTGAAACAGGGCCCAAGCGGGACCTTTGAAGCAGTCTGGGTGGGTCCAGAGAGTCCTGAGGAACGCTTTTGGAGGGGTTTTGATAGGCTCCTTGCACCAGATACTTGGTGAGTTGCTGGCCTCAGAGCTGCCACAAGAGCTCGGGTTTGGAGGCTTACCTGTTGCTGTAAATGGACCTGGCGTATGTCCTCAGCCTTTTCCTCTCGGCCATTAAAAACTTTAAATGCCAGGTTTACCAGGTCTCGTATGGGAGTTTGGGGGCCCTCCTCTGCCTTCTTTAGTTTTTTTCTAATATCTGGTGCTGACTGGGAGATAAAATGGGCCGCTAGGAGGGTAGCCCCAGCCAAAGAGTCTGGATCTACTCGAGTATGAAGGACCATAGCGTTAGTTAGTCCAGGAAGGCAGCTGGATTTTCAGTAGGACCCTGAGTTATTTCCCACAGTTTATCATAATTAACTACCTTCTGGGCTGCATTTTGCATGCCCTCTAGGAGGCACTGCAGCATCTGGTCTTGGCGGTGGTGGCCATTTTGGCCAATTATATAGTCCCAGTTAGGGTCGGCCTCAGGGACCGCCACTGCACCCACAGGCATCTGAGGATCAGTGAGATGTACCTGATTAGCATGTGCCCTGGCTGCCACGAGGATGCAGTTACGCTCATCAAGAGTAAGGGTAGAGGACAGGATTACATAAGTGTCATGCCAGGTTAGGTCATATGTCTGAGTGAGATAACAAAATTCGTTGATGTGAGCAGTAGGATTGGCGGACAATGACCCTAAGCATTTCCCAATGGTGGACAGATCAGTAAGGGAGAAGGGAACGTGCATTCGGACAATACCCTCTGCTCCGGCCACCTTGCAGAGAGGACAAAGGAGGGAGTTTTCGTCGCTGGGAGCGCTGCGTGAGAGAGTGTGAGCAGTAACAGGAGAGGCCATGACAGAACTTGGAAGAGGAGGAGCAGGAGGGGGTTGGGGATCTGCATATGGCAGGGGATTAGTGGGTCAAGTGGGGGGTAGGGAGAGTTCCTCGGCAAGATTGGGGTCAGAAAAAGAAGAGGAGGAGGCCGGCGAAGGGGCCGAGGGCAGTGCGGGGATGTTTTTGGCCAGGAGTACTTGGGCAGTACTGCAGGATGAGTACAGGCTGGGGTGGGAGCAGAGATGCCAGAAAGCTTGAATATAGGGAACCTCCGCCCACTTGCCGTTCCTTTGGCAAAAGTCTAAATCTGTTAAGACGTTAAAGTTGAGGGTGCCTCCAGGAGGCCACTTGGACTGGTTGTCTAGAGGACACTGTGGCCAGGCTACAGAGTAGAGGAAGAGTAACCTTTTCTTTTTTTATAGAAAGACCCAGTTTGGGTAGATTTTGGACCAGGCATCCTAGTGGTGACTGGGGGTCTGGGCAGGATTCCTGATTGCCCATATCTTATCTTTTTTCAGTGGCCTAAGAGCAAGAAGTGGACACGGAAAGAAATTATACCCAACATGGGCAGAAAAGCTCTTTTCCTGGAGGGGGTGGCTGAGAGAGCCTACAGGATGCAATGACAACAATGAAAAAGACAATAAAAAGGGACAGGGCTAGAACTATTTGCCCCATGGAAGAATTAGAGAAAGTGAAAGGAGTGGAACCAGGAAGTTGGGTTTCAGTGGTAGAGGAAGAGTAGAAGGAAAAAGGAGAACAGAGTTATTTCTAGAGGCAGGAACTCAATGAAGGTCCCCTGAAGCCAGTGGTCTGTTACCCACTGTAGAATATCTGTTACCTCAAGGCAAGCAGGCCTGAACCACTGTATATCGGCTAGTAAGAGCCTAACAAGGCTGGCAAATCTACAGTAGAGACAGGACCACATATAGGATTGCCGGATAAAGGGTGGGTGCCCCCCAGATGGGAGACCAGTCTGATGCCTTTCTGGCCACGTCCCCGAAGGGATGTTTCAGGGGTGTCTTGGCTAAGGCGTACCTGTATAACTCCCGGGCCTGGTCACCTCAGAACTGTTGGTCCTGAGGTGAATCACCATTATGCCTTATGACATCCCCATGGAACTGTGGGTGGAGGCCCACACAAGCCCCGTAGCCGTTAAGCCATGGGACTACACATAAACTCACTCACTCACACACTTGCTTGGGAATAGAGAGAAAGAGACCAAAAGCACCTAGGCAGGAGCTGGCCTGCCAAAGGGTGAGTTTGAGGTTGAGAGCCAGAGGTCTGGTTTTAGTCCTGGGCAAAGCCCGGGCTTGTGAACAGGGCTTCTGATCACCCAAACTTTAGCCGCTGCTGCAGAGATGATCGGAAGGGTGGCTCAGCATCCCGGGCCATCCCCCCAAACACTGGAAACTACAAGAGGGTTCAGGAAGGTGGGGATGTCTCCCTCAGATTCCTAACCCTGAGAGATCCCTTATGGGGAGAAGACAAGAGTGTAGGGACATCTCTGCTACACTCAGGTCCTCAGAATGAGGCTGGGGCCCTGGGCCCATGGCGAGAGAGGAGGAGTCCTTGATGTGGCCGTGATTACGAGCAGGGAGTCCAAGGAGCAGGCAGCAGGAAATGCTATGGGCAACAGAAGTCTTACCTTGTGGTGGAGTGGCTCCTGGTCCGGCCTTGGGTGGAGGAGTCAGTTTCCCCCCCCAGGATGGGGTCTCACAACTCCTCCCAGGTTTTCGGCACCAAACATAAGGTTTATTGCCAAGGTAAAATGAGGAAACTGAGTCAAGTATAAGAAAATGAGAAGCTAATTTATTCAGCTCCCGGGCAAGGTTCTGTGGTCCAGGAAGTGGCCAAAGAAGTCATGCTCAGCTGTTCAGGGCATGGGGTTTTATGGGGAGGGAAGGCAATTGATTGGCTATTGCGGAAACAGAGTGAAGGCAATTTCATTGGCTGTTGAGAAACAGTAAATGCATGGAGCTAGCTGCCAATGGTAGGTGGATGGGAACTTGGGTAAGTGGGCCTTGATTGGCTATTGGGGAAACAAAGTGAAGGAAATCTTATTGGCTGTTGAGAAACAGGAAATGCATGGAGCTAGCTGCCATTGGTAGGCAGGTGGGACCTTGGGTAAGTGGGCCTGCCAGGGGCATATGGGGCAGACTGCTACCAGGCAGGGTGTGGTGGGGCCTCTTTAAAAATTTTTTCTGTAGGGTTTTTCAACAGCAGGCTGGGGGTTGGATGCATAGTTTAGTGCTGAGTGTAGGCTTGGGTATGGTATGCGGAGGCGGGTGCAGGGAAGCCATGTGGTGAGGCCAGATAACAAGCTTGGGTGATAACGTAGTTATCAGGCATGGAGAGAGATGGATGTGTCCCTTTAACACTCTGTGAGGCAGCCGGGCTTACAGTAACATTTATACTAAATTCCCTTATGCCTTAAACTTGGTTATTAAATTTATTAATCTTTCATTTAAATGACAACTTCCTCCAGAGTGCCAAGGAAAGGCAGAGATGTCATAGACTGCAAGAAGTAATCACAGAAACAGATAATACATAAAAAACAGTGCCTGGGGGAAGACCCAAGATGGCTGACTAGGAACAGCTCAGGATGGCAGCTCCCAGTGAAAGCACAGAGGATGAATGGACGCCGCATTTCCAGATGGATTTTTATTGCCCACAGACCAGGAGATTCCTAGGCGGAGGAGCCCCACGGGTCACCAGCATGGCTATTTTGGCCAGTGCGGCTGTTTTGGCCGGCGCGGCGGTTTTCTGCACAAAATACACTGGTCTGGGTGCCCTTTTAGCTGGTGATTGGAGACCCGGGAAGGCAGATTGCCCATTCATCTGATTTAAAAAGGAACTGAAACAGGGAACCAGGCCAGGAGATTCCTGGGCAAAAAAACCACCACGAATCTCAGCGCCGCTGTTTCAGCCGGCACAGTGAGTCGCTGCACAGGAACTCACACAGATTGTGGTGCCTTTTCAACAGGCGACTGGAACACCTGGGAGAGATTCAACCGTTCAACAACAACAACAAAAAAGACTCTGAGTCAGGGAGTCAGG